TTAATATTGGTTTAACTCCCAATGTATTTGTCTGCAGAGAAAGTCAATTAAATCACACCAGTTAATACAACATCTGGTCTCTGATCTAAACTGGTTTATACTGGTGCCATTACGAACATTACTTTAATATTTTTTCTATAATAGTAGTATTTTAAAACCAAATTAATAATCTACATTCCTATTCAGAGCTACATTAAAAATAGCTATTTTATTTCAAGGTCTGGACAGCTTGTTATCATGCCTTTATAAAAGAAGGTAGTACAGTATATTAGTTAGTTCCCTTGCCCACCTGTTCAGCTTTATCTACCCTTGTGTGCTTTTTCCTCCTTTCCTTCTTGTGCTCAGACCCGTTCCGGGAGAGGATTTTGACAGCATCTTTGAAGCTTCCCTTCATCCTTGAAATCACCAAGGTCACAAAAGGAGAGAATTACCGCTTTCATATCCTACCTGCAGTCCTCCCAACAAACCTGGGAAATCAGTGCATAAATAGATTGGCTTTTTTTTTTTTCAACAGGCAAGATTAGTCTTTGTATATATTTTTGCAATGGCCAAATTCATATAAATGCAAAGTTACATAGTGTGAAAGAAATGTAGGATGCACTAGTGTGATAAACAGAACAAAATAAATGTACACGTGGCCCTCATCAAGAACAGATTCTGATAATTGTTTATCACATTCCAGTAGAATATAAAGATTGAGATTTTGGACCTGAATCTAGGGAAACTATTATTCAAGTCATCACCTAACCATAGTTCACTGGGTGATATGACTTTGCAGCAGATAGTTTTTCATCCTAATTTCTCTCACAGAGTTGTTGTGCGGACAAAATTAAGGAAAGCCCCATGTATACAACCTTGAGCTAGAAAAAAGATGGGACATAAAAAATACTTGTAATAGTGATGCTGAAATCCATTTAAAAGGTGATTCTTGGTGAGATTTGTAGAAATCTACATTGCTTTTGCCGAAAACCATTTTTTGCTATATTCTCACTTTATCATGTACAAGAAATATGACTGTTTCATGAAATGCTTTTAAAAATGAGTTCCCATCCTGGGAAAGCTACTCTAAATGAAATAAAGATAATAATAATCCAGGCAGGCTGAGAATGCAGCAGGATCTTCCACAATCCAAAAAGAATTAAGGATTTCTTGCAAAGGAAATGACATCCCAAGAAGTTAGCATTAAGAATATGCAAAAATCTCTAGGAAAGCTATATGTGTTTTCTGTAAGGAAAATTAATGCTCACTGTAGACAGTTTGCAGATTGCAGGGCACATGCAAACACATGCACACTCCCCACAGATGCCAGGTATTTAGGAATATTGAGGGAATGAATCATGAATGGTAACATTTCACCGATCTGTGGAAGTAGGACGCAATAGAATTATATATCCAATTTCCCTCAAATTGGCAACATCTGGATATACCTCTAAATGCAGAGTTTGCAATCAGTCCCACTTAAAGCTGGAATAATTCCTGGTGCCTTTGGGAATCTTAATGTAATAAAGTACAGTCCAATAACTGTAATTGCAATTGGTTAACAAGACCTTTTCATGAGTAGGTCTTTCCCCTATTAGCTATGACTGATGTAATGTCACCCACAGTCAGTGGATCATAATGCAGGCAGTGACATTTTCTCACTGTTAATTCACTAGCCTGAGACTAGATTATCCAAGCATTCATTTGTCTTCCTCTGCATTCTTTGATTTATGAAAACAGTATGTTTCCACATTATAAACATACCCTTGCTTAAGTTTACATGAGCCTTAGGTCATACAGAAAGCACCCAGTTTTACTGTTGCTTCTGATGTAACTACTGTATTTCTTGCTATGTAAAGGAACAACTCTTGAAATGCCAATGACTGCAGATAAACATGGAGGTAAATCGATCAT